AGTGGTTTGATTAAAAGTTCAAAATTTGTACTTTAAATTTTAACCCAGCCTTTTTTGTTGACTTCATGGCTCATATTGTAGCATTTGGGGCTATAATAGGATGCCTAGACCTGTTTTTATTTTTATTTTTTTTCGCCCTGTCGCTTCATATTTTTTCTGAAAAAATCCGAGAACCAACAAATTAAATTGGTGTGGCCTAACCGTTGTTATTGTCCCCAGATGGTGGGCAGTATCATCCAGCAGGCGCAGCAGCTGAAGAACATGATAGAACAGGCCAAGCAGCAGTGTCAGGCAGCTAAGGAGTCAGCACTCGCTCAGGCCAGAATACAGGCAGAGACCGAGAAAAAAGAGGTGCAGTATTTATATATACTAGTATATAAGAACATGATAGAACAGGCCAAGCAGCAGTGTCAGGCAGCTAAGGAGTCTGCCCTCGCTCAGGCCAGAATACAGGCAGAGACGGAGAAAAAAGAGGTGCAGTTTTATATACATGTATATTTTTTTCCCATTCTTATATATAAATCAAAAGAAAATACATGCACTGAGCCATCCATAATTCAAATCATAATGCAACGTACCAACAACATAAAGCATTTATTATTTTATTCGCATTTGTTTCTTTTGGATTTGACAAAAGCAAGGTTACTTATCGAAGCCCTATCCTCCCATGTAAGATCAACAAACTAACAAAGAATAAATACTTACTTACTTAACTGCTAGCGAGACATAAGGCCATGACTTTTTCCTTCCATCGGGACTTTTTCCTTCCATTCTGTCTTTGGCAACCTTTACTGATCTCCAGGATAAGCTCATGGATGCCAGTTCGAAGTACTTTTGAGTCTTCCACTTTCAACAAAGAAATACTGATTAAAAAAAAAACTATGGTAGATAACAGTGAAACATGCAACTGGTGTACAAGATGGTTGCTTGTTTCCCATTTATGTAACCAGTAAAAGAACAGATGTGTTGTATTGATGCAGGTTTTATCCCAGGCGAGAGTGGAGGCACAGATCCAGTTGGAGAGAGCGTTGATGGAGTCTCGAGCAGAGAAAGACAGCGCAGTGGCTCAGGCGATCGCTCAGGCACGGGCTGACAAGCTGGAGGCTGTAGCTGAAGCCAAGCAGGGGCATCTCATCAAGGTACGTGTATCTCAGGACATTTTAAGAGGTATTAACCAGGCTATATATATCAGGGCACTCCAGCCATCACTTAATAGAGATGGTGGACGATATAAACTCCCTGGCACGTTTGATCAACGCTGACATAATGTATTGGTTAAGTCTCGTGTGAATAAGGTCACGTGTCTGTTACCGTAACTCTTACGACATCACGTTGTGAAGTGATTGGTTATAAATTATCCTGATGAAGGCGACGGTGGTCGTTGAAGATTTGATCTCTGCTTAACCTGTGTGTTGGAATGAAGTTCAGCATTTTACTATGATTACTACCAACACAGATGAACATTCATGATAATTACCGATATCTCAGTTTTGCAGGCATGGTTTCCTTCAGTAGACTGGCAACTTCCAAGGGGGGTGGGGGGTCATATATGGCCAAAGAGTTTTTAACAGCCTTTGTTTATTTGCAGGAGTTTGGTACCCTACAGAATGAGACGATAACAGTCCGAGTTGTGAGGGGGTGAAGTCTGCCATCACTGATTGTTGTCTTTATTTGCAGGAGTTTGGTACCCTACAGAACGAGACGATAACAGTACGAGTTGTGAGGGGGTGAAGTCTGCCATCTCTTATCCTCTGTAACAGCCTTTGTTTATTTGCAGGAGTTTGGTACCCTACAGAATGAGACGATAACAGTACGAGTTGTGGATGAGAACAGTATAAACGAGTCTGAAGAAACGTCAGGCGAACAGGGGACAGAAGCAGACAAGGACTAGCAGGAAACTAGGTAAACATTTTTTATGTTCACATTCGCAGAAGAAAAAAACATATTGCTTTTGCTCTGTTTCTTCTTCTTTTCCAAACATACAAAGTTAATTACCTGGACCAGATGGCAACTGTGTGTAGGTGTTTGTGGATTATCATTAGCTGTACTGACATGTCACCATATATGAAGTGAACAATTAACATTAAAGACAAAAGCAAAGCAAATAATGGCAATGGTTTCTGAACTGTTATTAATATGATCTATTCTTTCTAAATTGAGAGTGGTGCAGGTAAAATTTGTCTAGTGCAGATAATTTTCCATGTTACCTGAACTGGTGCAAGTACATGTATGCAAGAAAAAAAGGATTTACATCCCTGAAATTGCCGTACTAATCTTATTATAATAACATGAATTGTTTTTCAAGGTAATGGTGGACAATAGCAGCTTGAAGCAATGTCTCCGATGGGTAGAGTACAGAGCACCTTAACTGGACAACCAAGAGGAAAACTTTACTGGTCAGGTTCACGGTTGGAAACTTGGATAAGTGTGACAATAGATCAAGAGACGCTCATGTACTGAAGGACTGGAATATATAACTGTTTCCATCCAGGCCTGTACCTAAACCCATGTCATGTACCTGTTCCAAAGTTTCTTAAGGTACACATTTCCAACATACAGGGTTACTAGGGTCGAGAACTCATCTTTGCAAGGAGGATGGAGACTGTTGGCTAGCCAATGAGCAACCAAGAATAATTTGTCACAAAGGGAGAAACATCAGAAGGGTATTGAGTGGACAAAGATCTTGGAGATCGTTGAGAAATCATTGGAAGACCTTAGGAGATCGTTCGGATTATTGGATGACCATGGGGATCACCTAGCCCTCAATGAAAGACCTTTGGGAGATCTGTCAAATTTTGGGTCTTGCTTGATGTGCAAGACCTCACTGTAACATACCTCTACATATCTGTACAGTATTGCCGCATAGCATTTACTACTGGTTAGCCAAGTTCTTTGCACACAGCCAATGTTTTTTTTTTTTACCAGCTAATGTTACGGTCGACTGACTGTCACCTTCCTCAATGCAATACTGGCTGGTTTTGATTTACCATGCTGCAAGTTGTCACTGCTGCAATACTTTGCATTGCAGCTAAGTGTCGCAGCTGCACTGGGAAAGATACCATCCCAAACATGACTTAGCTTGAAGGTGACAGACAGTCCACCAAAACATTGGCAGGTAAAAAGTGTTGGTTGTGTGCGCAAACTTTGTTAGCCAGCGATTAGTCAACTCAACGAAATTATTCACAGAAGCATTCATTGCTACATGACATAAGAGCTGTACATTTTAAACCAGAATACAGAAAGATCAGGAAAGCTGTAGGTACAACTTTTTCCAGATGGATGAAATTTCAGCAGAGATGCTTTGGCAGATCCCTGCACTTTTGCTAAAAGCAGATTTTTGATGGTCGAATCAGCACAGCCTCTAGTCAAAGTTTGCCATACAAGGATCATTTTTATTTATTTACTGTCATTCAGCATAATTTTAGTTTAAAAGGTATCAAAGTCTCATGAGCAATTTATTCAACCTGCTCTTAACATTTTCTTGTATATGAGCTAGACTTAGGCATCATTCATAGTGACACCAGCTGCAAAAACACATACGTTTAATTTACCCCTAAAAGGAATCTTGTCCCAAGATTTTTTATATTTCCTCCTAGTTTAAATGCAGATAAGGGTGTAAATGAAAACCATCTGTCATACCTTCTTTTCTCAATTCTGAATCAGGAACACACATATTCTTCTATGAAGAATTAGCTTGTTCTTTTTTACATGACATTGAGATTTAAGTATTTACAACGATTTTATTTGAGAATTATTTTCTCAACATACATGTATGATGAACTACTAAGATACCATATTCAACAGTGCTCCTTCAGTGGGACATTAGCAACTGGTGTTACACTGTTCACACTTTTCTGTTGTGAGATTTTGTAAATGTTGTGAAAATTAAACCATGTAAATTGAGGTGGTTGTCGAGTGTTTTAAGTTACAAGCTACCATCACAACTAATTTTTTTGTTTCTTGGGAACGGTTCTGTAGTCATACCTTCCTAAGGGTACTACTTCCTAACAACTAAAGCTTCGTTTTTGAAACTAGGTAGTGCTGCAGTAGGAAGAATGCAATCCTGACTAACAAATCTTAGTACATACCCCCAACTCGCACTCGCACGCACACACACACACACACACACACACACACACACACACACTGACTGAAAATGTCCAAACAACTTTTGGTACCAAAAGTAATGGATTTTATTTAGCTTGAAATATTCAATTCATACAAAAGTTGCTGTGATAATCTGTACACAGTATCTTTAATATTCTGTAAAATTCATAAAATTGTCTAAATTGTGTTTCCCATGTAGTACTTTTCAAATTCAACTAGTATTGCATAATGCTTGAGTGTCTTTCAATGTATTGCAGTTATAGTTAACATTTGCATTGGCTAAAGATACTTACTAGTACTTTAACTCGATACATGTCAATGAGTTTTCCATAAAATGTTATGTATTTTTTACGTGTTATCCACATTTTTATATAGATATCATTTGCATATATACAGCTAAAATCATTTTATTGCAAATTGATACAACTGGACCTAGCAACGATTTCAAAGAACTTCATCAATTGAAACAAACATGTATTTTTCACATAAAGTTTGTTCTGTTGTCTTTCGAAGAATATTGTGCATCATATTCCAATACAAAAACTAGGATACGATTTTTTTGGTGGCTCAGCGATCATCGTCTAGTGGAAAAGGGGCCTATGGTATCCCGAACCAATCCAAGAACGTAGATTTGCTCCAGGCACGATTTTGGATGGTCTTTGCATATCCAAGAATTTAGTACTTGTGCCACAGGCACCGTTCTGGAAAAACATGCTTCTGGATACAACAGGGACCTTAAAAGACGACCTAGCCCTTTATATACCCAAGTCGAACTTTTGTGCCCTGGCCAGCAGCTCTCTCGTGTCGCCCTTCCTCTCCAGAATCCCGACGAAACAGCCGTTCATTTCCGACGACATCGGGAACTTGACGTACGTCGGGTCCTGACTCGTCTTGGCGATGGGAAGCGGGGAGGGACGGACTTTAAACGGGAGAAGCCCGGGCGTTCTGTTGATCACCGGGTTCATCTGTTCCTGCGCCTTCGCTAAGGCTTCTTCGTTCTCTTCCTTAAAGACCGAAGACGTGAAGTAGACGATGTACTTAACCGTCGGAAACGCCATGGCGTGTTTGATCAACGTCACCTGGTTCAGAAATAGCATAACAAAACTTAGGATTAGTGCCCACTCTTTAAATATTCCAACTTAATAGTATGATGAAGACCGACAAAAAGTGTTACAGTATAGAGTTAGAACTGTCAGTTCAAGTGTCAGCCTCCATCTTATGTGGCCAAATGCTGTCCAAACAACATTGCAAGGTTGCCAACATGTAATTTTGTATATATGCCATGGGTTTAGGTCCGGACTTACGAGTCCGGAACTGAACCTAAACCTCAGGACTTGAATCCTGAGACTGAACCTAAATCTGGGTTTAGGTACACAGAACTAGTTGTACCCGTTACAATTGTCGTGCAATGAAATTCTCCCTACCTGGTTGGACACGAGGTCGCCGAGTTTTCCCGAGCTGAACTTCTTGGACGAAAATTCCCGAAGAATGCCGACGTCGGCTTCGCCGTGCACGAGCGATTCCATGGGGTTGCACAGGCCGGACTGCGAGTTGGGCGGGTTGAGCAGGATAACCTAGAGAGGAAAGGGGAGAAGTTAAATTACTTTAAAGTTAAATGTTAAGCCATGTTGCTTTCATGATCAGATTGGGTGACATCCTCTGGGAACCCCAAACCTGACGCAAGCGTTGTCGAAAAAAGTTGCCTACGTTATAATTTAACCATCCTGAGATCCACAGTTGATTGAATGATAGATCGATAAATCAATTGGTTGATCCATGGATTGATTAATTGTTTGAACCGATCTATTGATTGATTGATAGAATCGACCTGAAGGTTGTGCATGCGCGGGTCGTTAGGCCGAATGTCGATGAAGATCGGTCGATTGATTGATAGATCGAACCATTGATTTGTCGATCGATTGATCGATTTGTAGATTGATTGATTGATTGATCGATCTATCCATTGATTGATCGATTTGGATAGATCGATTTCAAGAGAACTGACCTGTAGGTTCTGCATGCGCGGGTCGTCCGGCCGCATGTCGCTGAAGTTCTCCTGCAGGACCTTGACGTGCTGCATGCCGAGCTGGGACACCGTGCTCCTCAGGCTGCCGGCCTGCTCAGGAGTCCGGGCGCCCATGGCAAACACCTGCGGGAACGGGGCGATGTTAGTTAGTTTGTTTCGTATTACAGTTTGTTCTGTTGTCTTTCGAAGAATATTGTGCATGGTGTTCCAGTAAAAAATCAAGGGTTATGGTCGCACAACGGTTCCTGATGAAAAGCGATGAACGAATCGAACGTTTCAAAATGCTTCATGCAAATATTGAGAAGAAGATATAAACATTCGTCAGTAATTCTATGGAATCATAATTTTGTATATACTAGTATCATCTTAGTATGACATTGCATTCTACATTGGTTGGTAACTGAGAACCACATCTACATGATCATATTTTGTCAAACTTTTAAAGAACGTGTACCTAAAGAATGACAACCGGTTTGTAGATAGTAGAGAAACAAGTCCACCTACCGTGAACCAAGGGATATACGGCCTTGATTCGGCTTTGTGTTTCTTATGGAAACGGACAGTGTAAGATAGAGGGAAAGTACATTGAGTACAAGTACAAATTGAGTACAAGTATCTAGCTAGACCAGTACGGTATAAATATAACTGAATATTACTGGGATTGTCTGTTGCTTAGAAAAAAGTTAAATTATCACGAAGCGCTTATCATTCAAGATGTGTCGATATCATTGAGAAGGGCTTGCTGTGTATCTTACTTGAAGTATCATTCAGCGCACTGTTAAAATATTTAGGAACTATCTACATATTTACATGTATTAGTAGAAAGAGTGCGATACTGTTGTTACATTCGATTTTGCTGTTAGGTTTACTGATATTCTATAATCTAAGCGAAGGGTGAAAATGCCCAAAGCGTCCCTGGCAAAGAAGGATGGTACGTTTCTGTAACGCTTGTTACAGTTGCAGTAAAAAAGTGGTGGATAGGTACGGGCAGTCATTTTCAAGCCTCAGAAATCAAACCGGCGTGACCGCCAGCCTAAGCACAGGGCCATTCGACGCCGCCATAGTGCAAAGGAGACTATCAGTAAAGCGTGTTGCTTCGTCTGTACAGTCACCAAGTTTGGTGGCCCTAGCGCAAGCCGTTCGGACATCCGAAATAAAAGTTGGCGCGGGCAGAGTCTAGATAGGGTCTATAAGGCGTGGCATCTTCAAATCTCTCTTTTTAATCTCATGTACTTTAATGTGTAGTGTGTGAAATATGTAGCTAACATGTCAAATGTAATAAACAGTCCTCCCATAGATAGGCTAGACTATATATCTGGAGAGCATTGAAAAAAAATCAGCATGGCAACATAGTCAGGCATCTAGCAAATCTTTCGTCAGCAGGTCTTTGGACTTCAAAAGTAAAAATTGCTGAGAAGTGAAAGTGTCTGAAAAGTGAGAGTTGCTGAAAAATGAAAGTTGCTGAAAAGTGAGAGTTGCTGAAAAATGAAAGTTGCTGAAAAGTGAACGTTGCTGAAAAGCGAAAGTTGCTGACAAGTAAAAGTTTTTGTTACCTGAAACTCCTCCCGGTCCAGTAGCGCCCAGACATGCGCGGCGAGGTGGCCCGACCCCGCATGCGTGCAGATGACGTCACATCCTGAGCTGAGGCTGAGTAGAGACTTGATGGTGTAGGCAGGCATGGCGACGGACCGGTCCTGGAGAATCAGGCTACCGTTCTGAACTAGGGGGTGGTCTCGCAATCTGGGGAAGATAACAGAAGATATATCATTAGATAGCTGAGGCTGAGTAGAGACTTGATGGTGTAGGCAGGCATGGCGACGGACCGGTCCTGGAGTATCAGGCTCCCGTTCTGAACGAGGGGGTGGTCTCGCAACCTGGGGAAGATAGGAAAGATAGATCATTAGATAGCTGAGACTGAGGAGAGACTTGATGGTGTAGGCAGGCATATCGACGGACCGGTCCTGGAGAATCAGGCTTCCGTTCTGAACGAGGGGGTGGTCTCGCAACCTGGGGAAGATAGGAAAGATAGATCATTAGATAGCTGAGACTGAGGAGAGACTTGATGGTGTAGGCAGGCATGGCGACGGACCGGTCCTGGAGAATCAGGCTTCCGTTCTGAACGAGGGGGTGGTCTCGCAACCTGGGGAAGATAGGAAAGATAGATCATTAGATAGCTGAGACTGAGGAGAGACTTGATGGTGTAGGCAGGCATATCGACGGACCGGTCCTGGAGAATCAGGCTCCCGTTCTCAACTAGGGGGTGGTCTCGCAACCTGGGGAACACAAGGACATCGTGATTTTGGCAACGCCACAGGCGTGGAGCCATTGAGAGCTGGTGCCTAACCAGTCATGGTGCTGAAATGCCATCCAGTAGAATTTGCAGGGACTTCGATTGGTACGATTACGACTTTTCTTTGGTTGTTTGCTTTGCATAAGGTACAGAAGGTACAAGCTGACCAGACTTTAAAGTCTGAACCACTGACACTTGGATGGGCACCTATTCTTTTTGATCAGTGTGATGTGATGTGATCTTTAACGTGATCGAGGTGTGTCTCTCATCAAACTCGGGACTTAACGTCCCATCCGAGAGAAGGTCCCTAATAGAAGATAGCTAGGTACTAATTGTTTGCTGGAGTCGAGTGAGAAGTGTTGCTTGCCTTTCCAAAGGACAGTTGTTGGGCCTGTCAGGGATTTGAACCCAGAACCGTCAGGTTCGGATTTTGAATAGTTCATCTCTCACCTCTCTTTGTTCTCCCCTGGGAAGATAAGAGTGTCAGAGAAGTGCAGCAGTTTCTTGTACACCCTTCCTGTGAACTCCTCATCGTCAGGATCGGGCGCCTTGAAACCGTCCTCTTCCAGTCCCGCCACCACTTCCTCGAAGCATGACTTGACGGTGTTGACCCAGCCGTACACTGGTAACTGGAGGGGAAACAGTTCTAGGGTTATGGTCATACAAAAACAGACAGTTTGTACCTAGATGTAGCAGACGGAAGCAATGGCGTAGTTTTACTTCGCACTACAGCTAGGTGCCGCTGATGCACTGTTTTGGGGTGTGTTTGTGCGTGTGTGTGTGCGTGTGTGTGTGTGCGTGTGTGTGTGTGTGTGTGTGTGTGTGTGTGTGTGTGTGTGTGTGTGTGTGTGACGTTGTGTGTGTTTGTGTAAGTGCACGTGTTTGTGTGTGTGTACGTCTGTTAGAATCTTGACTTCAATCTTACTGTACTTTCATAAGAATAACACTAACACTAACACCATAACACACCGTTCGAGCGTACTTGTCCCTGTTCCTGATGTTCTCTGGTAGTAGAGAGTCTATTGTCAGGATCCGGTCCCGAATCCGTAACCGGGCCAGGGTGGCGTTCAGACCCGTCTTGGCCGACTGCAGGGCGTCTTGGACTTCTTGCACCTGCACGAAATAAGAAAATATCGAATCTGGACGGACAGAAAGTATATATGTGCAATCACTACAGCTGGGGACTAGTCCACAAGTAGTGGTGTGTGTTCAACTCCCATACTCCTTCCCAAATGCTGAGTGCTAAACAGAGAAAGCAGTATGTACCATTTTTAAAGTCTTTGCTATGACTCGGCCGGGATCGAACTCACGACCTACCGAATGCAAGGCGAACACTCTACCCATTGCACCGGGCTCATAATATTTATGTTTACCGAAGGAAAATATATTGTTTCTGCTCAGTTTCCTCTTCTTCTTCTTCCCCGAACACTAATTACATACCTCGTCTATGACTGGCCCCCTGCGATGCCGCCTCGGCAGGTAGAACTTCTGATTCATGAGAACGTAGAACGCCACGACCGTGAGGCACATGGACTCCTGCGGCAGCGGGTTGCTGGACTGGAAACCCGACTCGATAATCACATCCTCCAGCAGGTCCTGGTACTTCAGCGCGGCGTACGCCAGCTTAAACGTCTGTCTTCTCGTGTCTTCGTCTTCAACATGGTTAATCTCCAAGGAGCCCTGGGATAAAGTCAAGTTTAAGTTTATTGCACAACGATTGTAACAGGTACAGTGTATGGCAGATTAGAAGATTAGTATCTGATATGAATCTATCAAAGAACGTCCTGGTACTTCAGGGCGGCGTAAGCCAGCTTAAATGTCTGTTTTCTCGTGTCCTCGTCTTCCACGTGGTTAATCTCAAGGGAGCCCTGGGGGAAAGGAATGAATGGATGAGCGAATGAATGAAGGGGTGGGCAGGTGGATGGATGGCTGTGTGGATGGATGGATGGAGGGAGGGATGAAGGAAGAAAGGAATGAATTCATTGATGAATGGATGGATGGATGGATGGATGAAATGGTGGTTGGTTGGATGGATAGATGAAGAAAGGAAGGAAGTAATTAAATATAATGGATGGAATGAAGTGCGGATGGATGGGTGGGGAATGGATGAATGAAAGAATGGTTTCTTGAAGACATCAAAAGTAACCATACAATAGCAACCATTCAGATAAAAATATACATAGTTTACAGTAGAATACTGTAACGATAGATGTCGTGCAGACGGTAGCTTACGATGGCCTGGCTTAAAACCAGCCTACCTTGGGGTTGCCATATCGGAGAGACTCTTGGTCTGAAGGGCGCTTGTGGTACAGCCTATGGTAGATCTGGGAGGCGTACACGTACACTTGGTGTGGGACGATTCCGAGCGGCTCGTCATAGGTCGTCTGGTAGGACGACATGGTTCACATCGAAGGCGCTGTTTCCTATCTGGAATACAGATAAGGAAAACCTTTAAGAAGATTTAATTACAATGAGTGAAAATGAGTATATAGCTTTGTAGTCACTGCGACCTGAAAATAAGCTAGGTTGACATTGAAGACTCGAAATACAAAATGATAAAAACCAGTTGATGCGCATAGCCATTATCCAAACTTGTTGTATACTACCTTTACATTTTTACTCTTACTTGTCATGCTCATTTAGGGCTTCAGAAGCGACTGGAAAGAGTAGAAATTGTACATATTCAAAAGATGCCAGGGGAGTTGGTTCGCAAAAGGAGTACAGTTTGTCGCTCTTCTCTGAAGCCTGATAGAAGTTGATATAAACACTGCGCATTTCTCCTGTTACGCTCTTTCAGGGCTACATGGATGTCCTGGTTTGACCTTAAGGACATGTACAGTGTGTTTATGTTTGTGTGCAGGGTTGGGTGGAGGTGGGGTCAATATTGCCCGTTAGTCCCTTTTGAGGTCGCCTTAATCGAGGTCAGGTATTCAAAAGGCTTGAAAAGAAGTCGACAAGTGGTTACAGTGTTTGCCCGGGTGATTGTAGTGACGTAAACATGCGTTATTCTTCGTCTTCAATTAACAGTCAGCCGCGTCCTTAAGGTCAAACCAGGACATCCATGTAGCCCTGAAAGTGCATAACAGGAGAAATAGCTAGTTGAGTATATACCAACACTACGTGGATACGGATGTGTTATCACAAGTGGTTCGTGCCTAGTGGGTGTTTTTCCCCGCCCGGCTGCCGCTACACAACACGGATTTCAGCACTTCACATCCACTTATAACGGTCATTATAACGGCTAGCGGCTCAACAGGTGGTTAGTGTTTGGGTCCTGTTTACACTTTACGTAACCGTAGCCTCTACCTGGTTTCAGAAGCGGCTAGAAAGAGTAGAAATTGGTTAAATAGACAGATAGCATGCCTGGGAAGTTAGGAAGGCTAACTTCCCTAGCAAGCTATCTGTCTATTTAACAAATTAGAGAGAAATAACGATTTCGCTGGTGCATTGCGTTTTCAAATCTAGCCAGCTACCTTTAGTGGCAGAGTAGTAAGAATTATTTACAAAATGTAGGTAAAACACTTGATAAAAAGAGATGTTGGGATGTTTTGTTGGAATATGTTCTGGAGGAGTAGTGTTTGTGATAGAAGTTGTTTGCAGTGGCCAGATGGTTTGATTTATTTGTGCCACGTCCTTGAATCGGTGAGTGTACACTTTGACGAGGCTGGTCAGTTATAAAAACAGCCAGCATAGCAACGCCACTTTCTCCTGTATTCTTCTTTCTTACTGAGCATTCACGTCTTCAAACACAAGGTCACAACTTAGCAAAACACGCCATAAACACACCTAACTGGCTTGCTAGCTGTTTGCGTCTTTTTCTGATGTTGTACGTTTTTTTTTACCTTCCTGGCAACGGAAAAACACGTTGTTGTCAGCTAACATACACGTCAGAGTTAATATATGGCGCAGATTGTTTCACGCGGTTAACAAATGTGTTTTGTTGATAACATATCAGTCTAGTACAGGACCAGCAGGTCCATAAAGAGATCAAAGGATAAGGCTATAGACTGGGGCTGGACATTATAGATATGGGCTGGGATAAACACACCAGCAAAACACAGCACGTATGGGTAGATCGTTGGAACTCGTTGTATCCTGAACCGTGATTTATCAAGAACCATGCCCAGGCACTGATCTGGATAGGCACCAGAGAAAGACTCAACAACTAAAATATAATTCTTCACTTGGCTCAGGTGAAAATTAGTACCTAGCTTCGGTTAGGGACGTCCTCTCGGATAGGACATATAGCTAGGTGTCCCGTGTTTGGGAGCCACAACTCACGCACGTTAAAGATCCCACCACACATTTCTAAAAAGAGTAGATGTCATTCCCCGTGTGAGTGGCTCAAACCTTACAGGCTGGTTCTGGGTTAACATTTTGAAAAGGTGATAGTCAACCCTTCCACAAATGTGGCAAAACAATATATCAATGAAAAAATATATACAAGCTAACAGACCCGTTGTTTGGGTGCTTCGAAAAAGAAAATGATTAAGCGTACGTAATATTTTCAACCTTTGTCACATGCAAGTATTGTATCACTGCATTATAAAAAAAAGTACAAAAAGGGACAGAGTGGATCAAGACGACTTTTCCACAGTACCTGTCTAAGTTTACCTTTCTATCAACCCATGCTTAAGAGCTATTCAAGGTTAAATATTAAGAGTTACAATTCCATAGAGGTTTTGAGTCAAGACTTACTGGTTCGCGGGTACCATGTACCAAGTCCAGAGAGGTTGTGGGAAAAGTCGCAGTGAGTCAGGATCAGAGAAAAAGTGGGAATTTTTCCTGACAAAACCTCCGTTGTGAAGGGCAGGAGAGTTTGGTGTACAGTCGAGTCAGCCTGGCAACCAAGTCTCGCTAATGGCGGCGTATAGCGGCCGCATCGTCAACTGATCAAACAATTCCGGGGCGCAATCTGATATTTATCTCTCACCTTTAGCCCTCTTTGGGCAGAAGGAAGGGTCAGAAAAGTGTCGTAAAATACCATCTGACAGATTACGACAATGGCCGGCACGATTTACCACATAGCGATGCACTTGACTGCATAACGCCCCCCATTAGGCCATGTTGATTTGATTATATGGATGACATCCTCTGGGAACCCCAAAATTGACGCGAGCGTGCGAATGAAAAAATAAATTTGGCAAAAAGAAGCATAACGCCCCATTAGGCCATGCTGATTTGATAATATGGATGACATCCAGTGGGAACCCCAAAACTGATGCGAGCGTGCGAATAAAAAATTTTGTCAAAAAAGTTTCCTTCATTATGAAATCTACGTCGTCATGAAGGTTGAACAAATGCAAAAATGACACAGAGTATAGCGAATAATAATAAAGTCTTTTTTATGATCTCTTCACATTTTCTTCTTTTTCTGAATTGATTTCGGCATTCTATGACATTAGTATCGTTTTCAAATATTGCAATTTACGGCAGATATTTGCTCATTTAGCTGCTTGTACGATTTATAGTATGGTTGAAAACTTTTTTTTGAACCGGCCGAAAATGCATGCGCTTGTGGATGTCATCCACATAATCAAATCAACATGGCCTTATGAGGTGCGGCGACCCTCAAGAGCCCGATTAGGACAAAAGAGCCTTTTCAGGAGAGCTCAAAGGGCCTTTCAGTGGTTACAGTAGTCCTGGGGACAAAAGTTCTGCGCGACATCATAGACTCATACGTTTCTCTGTAAATCTAAGCTGTGCTGCCAGGCGTTAGGGTCTTTCCTAGAACTATTATAAAGAACTGGGATGAAGTAGTGTACAGTGTTCCCATGAAAGTAAATGGATTTCTAGTATTAGACAAAAAATACTCAGACGTTTCTCTGTAAATATAAACTCTGCTGCCAGGCGTTAGGGTCTTTCCTAGAACTATAAAAAAAGGAATGGAATAAAGTAAAAGGATTTTTGGTATTAGAGAACAAAATACCAATAGAAGAACCAATACTTTCTGGTTAAAGGCTTCTAAATGCACAGAAAAGGCTATCGGAGATGGCAGACTTCACCCCTTTGCTCATACTGCTTTGCGCATCATAGACAGCATTGTCAGTAGCACACACATACAGACACACATACAAACAAACAAACAGAAAAAATGTGCAAAACAATGCTTCACTAATTTAAGGTTCAATAAAAAAGGCTGAAAACGGAGTTTGACAAACACTATTTGCAATGTTGATGTATCTACGAGTGATGTGAGAACAATACTAGTACCTTATAAATTAAAGGGACCAATCAATTCTTATATCCCCCAACTCTGACCATTAACGGACTACCCCTGCTCAAGTACCATCCCCCGCCTCTGAACATTAATGAACTATCCCCTTTTAAACTATGGTATCAACATTTGTGACATTAATCATGACATTTTACAGGCGAATTAAAATGGCGGCGTACCTTTGTGCTAAAGGAATGTTAATTGACAACCCTTCCAAAGTTATTCTTTTAACCATATAAAATCGATATGTTAGATATTTAATAAGTAATGAGTATTGGCCTTTGCTTTTGTACCTGAATATCACAAACGCGTTTGAAGTGATATCAAATGTGACATGTATACAGATTTAAGAGAAGGCCAATACTTTTACCCTATAACTATAACTAAGGAACAATGATATATTCCAGACACGAAGATGTTTTTTTTATGTTATCTTATGTATCAAATGGTTTCAGTAAGGTATCAAAGATTGCTAAGACGCATTCAATTTCTCTGTCGAGTTCTGTAAAGGTAAGGTTTAGGACTTGTTTTGAATTGAAATCGCGGCGTATCTTTGTGCAAAAGGAATGTTAATTGTCCACGTTCCTGAGCGTATTCTTTTAACAGCATAAAATCGATAAGTCAGATATTCATTAATAAATCATGAGGTTTGGCCTTTGCCGTTGTACATACATACCGCTGGAGTCTTTAGACTTTATATTAGAAGTGACAGCCGTGCGTGTTCAAGAAATAAATCCACTAAATCCTTAAATCCGTATAAGAATTTTGAGACGTAATGACATGTTGTAGATTGTAGAAATCCTATTTTATAAAGGTTTTGATTAGTAATACTTCACAACTTTAAAGCTATATTACTAACATTTCTTTCAATGTCCATAGCGATGTCTCAAACGTTCTTTAATGGGACCGTTTAAACTATCAGTGCACGAATATTTTGTTCCTTAATTGCTCTAGTTATATGTTTGACTTGTAATCTATCATTCAGGCTATTTGCTTGCTGTCTGTTAAAATCAGGATGTGAGTTTTTTTTACACGGATAGAAGTGTATGTACGATCTAAATTAAGAATCTGAAACATTTAAGAGAAATCCTGCCACATTTACCCTACTTTAATTATAATTAACTCCAACACAAGCATCTTTACTATATGTCTGAAGAAAAACAGTTTCTAAATCATTATCCTGTTTTAGACGTCCTTTCTAGCGT